ATCGTCGTCGCTTGATGTGGAGTCCATCTATGTAGCGCGACGTTTTAAGAAAATATCGCTTATTCGCGTCGCGTTCGGTGTGAAAAGGCCTTGAGAGTGAAGTGCTCTGTTAGGATGATGCCTGCTTTAGGAAGCGGAGCTGCGAGCTGTACCATGGGGCCTCCTCTGTTTCACTGCCTTCTTTTTCAGAGGGGCAACATTATCAAGTGTTATACGCAGGAAGGCTGCTGCACTATCAATGATATAATCCTTCTTCGTTCACGCTTGATTACAAAATTCCAATGTGTTTGGAAAAAAAGGCATTAAGCTGCTGTATAGCAGAGCAAGTTCTCTGAAAGTCCAACGTGTTTGGGAAAAAAAGGCATTAAGCTCCTGTCTAGCAGAGCAAGTTCTTTGAAAGTCCAACGTGTTTGGAAAAAAGACATTAAGCTGCTGTCTAGCAGAGCAAGTTCTCTGTGTTTGGAAGAACAGCCGTGTTGTCATCGTATTCAAAAAGTCCTGCTCAACAAAGTCCTTTCGAAAAAATCTCTTCACTGTGAGCAGCAGTGAGCAACCTCGCAACAGTTCGGTTCTGATATAATCCTTTTGCCAGACTTGTTCAGAAAAGTCCATTGTATTTCAATAAAAGGATTAACTTGTAAAAAATAGTCAGCAGACTGAGTTCTCTGCTGTGAGCGCACCCACAGTGAGGGAACAGTGAGACGGCACTCTCTCTGGAATCTGCAAAATTACACAAATACCGTTCATCCCATCACAATAACAATGGTATAGATAGATTGTTGACAATTTTCTCTATGATTTTCATCTATTATATGTGTATAAAATTTAAGGATAGCATAATAGAAGCAGAAAAACAAGGAGTAGTTGGAAAAACAGACAGGCAAGCTAGAACGGGGGGGTCACGTGATGCAGAGTGTGCCTATTCAAGTCAATGGAGCCATTCAAACTGAATGGAGAAGTACACAAAATATAAATGGCGAGTATACAAAAACCATAGAAGATTCTTGCACCATCAGTAGATAAATTTGTCACGAGTTGAATACAGTTGAAATGGCGTTTCTAGCTGTTAGATACTACTGAGATTATATTTAGATGCTGTAAAAAGTTTGCAGGCCACAAAAATTCATCATAAATTAGGAATAATTTATAATCTATTTAAATCAGAATTATCAGTATAATTAGGCTACTTTTTAAAGTAATGAATTTCTTATGCAGATGGGACAAAAAACACAAAAGGTGGAGTCCTCTAATGATGATGTCCTGTTAATTCAACTACATTAACATCTCTTCAGGTACTTGGTTTTTATAATGTGTGTAATCAATGTAACCAATGTCTTTGATTCTTCTTATGTATTTATAAGTGGAAACAATTACAATATATGAAGGAAAGTGAAAAACTGACATGGCAAAATGCAAGACTATGATGCACTATATATTGAAATCAAAATAAAATCAAAAACTTTTATGATCAGCATTTTGCATCTTGTCTTTCTGTCTTTGATTCTGGATAGCAGTCCTGCATCCTCCCTTTTTCATGATTTTATTTTTGAATAAAGTAAACCTGAATTTTATATTACTTTAAATTTAGAAAGAAAGGGTACAGTATCTGGAAATATTAGTCAGGTATAGTTCTGGTAACCGGCCCATCAGTATTTTTAATTTATATAAAAAAAAAGACCAAAAAAGTGCACATCCTAGACAGATCAGTCTATCACAGACCTGACACACACAGAGACAGACAACCACTCACGCTCCCATTCACAACTACAAGCAATTTAGAGCCACCAGTTAATCTGAAACTCCACACAGATAGGCCCTGGTCAAGATTTGAACCCAGAACCCTCTTTCTTAACCACTGAGCATTGTGCTGCCCCTGTGAGCATAATATTAAACTAAAGATGTGTTTTTGAGAGCTGGTTGGACAAAACTAGTCATTTGATTATATGCACTCGGGCTTTAAGAATACGTGATAATCATTGTTTATGTACATTTTCTGACATTTAGTGGCTCAAATCGATTAATCAACAAAACAGAAGTTGAATTAATAGATAATAAAAATAACTGTTACGTGTAGACGGGTGACAACAGGAAACGCCAACATAAAGGCTCTCTGTCAGGCGCTTGGTCAAATCCTTCCAGAACAGCTTCACTGCACCTTGGCATTGATTCTCCAAGTCTCTAAACTGTATTGTAGGAATGAACTCTATTCTTCCAAAAGATATTCTCTCTCGTGGTGTTTTGATGATGATGGCGGAGACGCTGTCTACCACCTCGGCCGAACATTTCCCATAGGTTTTCAAATGGGTTGAGATCTGGTGACAGTGAAGGTCATAGCATATGATTCACATCATTATCATTCTCATCAAACCATTCGGTGGCCCCTCAGGCCCTATGGATGGGGGTGTTGTCATGGAAGAGACCACTCTTTGCTTCAGGGTTTTTCCTTTAATTTGTCCCCCATCTGTAAATTCATGGAGGCAGTCACAAATGAACAGTGAATAAGGAGCTAGTAAATAAGCTGATATTACAGCCATCAAATAAGCAAACTGGGAAAGGGGTGACAGCAGAACCTTTTAGAAGGTGGCTGCAGTGAAGGCCTGAGAGAACATCACCATGGTACATACAAAGTGTCTGCTGATGTCTGAGAGTCCAGGACTTCAGGCAGTCATCGACTGCAAAGGATTTCCCACAAAACATTAAAAATTATGCTTTTGTTTGACTTCTGATTCCTTGTGAGTCTGGCTCCATCTCCCACAAAGTTCCTTCTACACTGACCTCAACCTACTCAAAAGGAAGCAGAGACTTCTTGTACTGTCTGTCATTCCAATTCAGAATGAATGTGATGAAGCATAAATACAGCACAACATAAAAATGTGTAAAACTATCAGAGTTACAGTACAATAAATCTCACAAATATAAAATATGTAATAAAATAGAAATATAAGGTTTAAAACCCCTCACTTTGGCAAAATTCAAGAGGAACCTCTCTGACAACTGAGTTTTAATAATACAGTGGCTTGAACAAACATACCCGGCATTGTTGTAAAAGAGGATGTGACCCTGATGTTCTCCAAAATGTCTGCAATAGACAACACTTTTCTCAAAGGGAGCTAAACGAAGGACATCTTAAATCGGGTTTTTCCTCACAGACACTGGACATTCCCTATGTCGTTAGATACGTCTGGGGTGGGTTTTGCCCCGACATGGCCTTTGAAAATATTCCTGTACGAGTTACTGTAACATATGGTGATATACACGGATAACTGCGTCACAAATAATACAACTGTAACTTTGATATTAGTGCATCTTGTATTACATTGCATGCCATTCCTAATGTGATGTTTATCTACTTACTTATTTTAAAGTAGCACAGTGCTTGCACAGGCGTCAGCCAGCTATTTCAGCTTTGTCTGAGAATTATTCTGACACAGAGGATTCAAAGAATATCAAACACCCCTACCTGAACAGCCCCCTAACCCACACCTGGACTATCACTTGGCCTACCATGTTGGTCGCGCGGGGCTCCCAGCGATCAGGGCGCAAATGATCCACCTGGCAGACAGAAAATACTTAGAGGACCTGTCCCTGTGACGCTTTCCCTAAGCAGCTGTCACTTCCCCTTTCTGACGAACATGGGGTAGGTATAAATAAAACTCTTTTTTTTTTTAGGGAAGCGAAAGTTAAGTTGTCCTCACTTCCTTCCCACAATTTGCTTCAATGTGTGTCTTAAAGGTACAGGCGAATATTCAGGAAACCCTGCCTCCACTCCTCTCGTAGGCTAGTGCGAGAT